GGTACTTTCTCTGTTTTGTCGTATTTTTTTCGTGTTTTTTTTGTTTGTTTGTTTGTTTGTTTACTTCTTTTTAACTCTACCTCTACGTGTCTCCCATCGGTAGACTGAGACGGCGCAATCACAAAAGGGTCTCTGACTCCAAATACTTAATTCAGGCATTGTTCAATCAGCCTGAATGCATTCATGATTCCTCATTTTCTGAATGAGAATATTTTCTGCAGTACACCTCACAAAAAAATAAATAAATCCAGAGACAACTGCGCCTGTGACCGCCGCAGAGTTCCAAATTCGCAGGAATAACAGTTGACTGCAATCTGAACGCAATGCAGTCCGAAACTGCAAAAAAAACAGGTACCGGTAGCGGTAAAGGTCCTGCCAGTTCAACAATTGGCAAAAATGGGAGGTACTGGTACCGGCACCGGTACAGGTCGTTTCCCCAGGCGGTGTGGCCTAGGCATCTCGGCTGTGGCCCAGCCACGGGCATGGCCTAGACATCTCGGTCATTGGCCAGCCATGGGCGTGGCCAAGACATCCCGGCCATGGCCCAGCCACGGGTGTGGCCTAGACACCTCGGCCGTGGCATAAGCACCTCGGCGCTGGCCAAGCCACGGGTGAGCGCGCAAAAAAGGAAAAAAAAAAAAAAAAACGTCGCAGGGCAGAAAAAAAATGCCGCAGGCGCGGATAAGAAAAAACAAGTCGCAGGCGCGGAAAAAAAAAAAAGTTGCAGGCGCAGGAAAAAAAAAGTCGGAGGCGCGGAAAAAAAAATGTATGAGTGGCCGCCTGATTTTGTCACTTCCGAACTTCCAACGGCCAGAAGTGCAAAAAGCTGTGCTGTTTTTGCAGTTTCTAACTGCCCTCCCTCGGCCCAGATCTGCAGTGCCCTATTATTCCTGCGGATTGGGAACTGTGCACCGGTCACCCGCACAGTTATTATTGCATGGGAGCCTAGGCTACCAGCCGGGCCGCCTGGTTCACACTATTTTCCTGGGCGGCCCGGCCGTGCAAGGACCAGGGAAGGTCCCAGACGCCCCCCGGAAAAAACAAAAGAAAAAAAAGGACCCAAAAATCCCAAAAAAAAAAGAAAAAGCTAGGAAGATTTTCATGCCCGGCCGGGCACCAGGGCGTGCAAAAAGTTAAAAAAAATATATTTTTTGTTTTTTTTTTGCCTTTCTGCGCTCTCCCAAAGGACCCCAAATCCGGGCTCGTTTCATTTTTTGAGAGTTGGCTGTCAAGGGGGGGGAAGGGGGGTATAAATTGTTTTTAAAGGGGCTAAGGGGGGTTAAAGGGGGGTCCTTTAGTGTGATTTTGTCATTTTCTCCTTTATCTCCTATTCGGTGCGGAATTCTGATATGACCCTCAGCCAAAGGTTGTTTGTATTGCAATTCTACACAGCAACTTTTTTTTTTTCTGGAGTTTTTTTACTCTCGTTTTTTTAACTTCTTATTTTACTTTTTTTTTTTTTGGCGCTGGGGCAGCCCGGAACCCTGCCTGGGGGTCATGCCCGGCCAGGCACCGGGCCGTGCATCCGGGCACACGTTGGGTGCCCGGGCTCCCGGAAAAACAACCTAGCAAAAAAGTTGAAAAAACTATGTTATGCAGAAAAATAAACTGAACAACTTTTGCCTCAGGGTCACATCGAAATTCTTTGCCAAATTTAAAATATAGAACTTAATTGAATGCAAGGAAAATGAGCGATAGCGAACTTCAGAAACCAAGCAACATCATACACATGAGACCAGATAGTCGTGACCTCAAACCAAAAGCAGAATTGCAACACGAGTCCCACCAAATAAGAGCACAGCAAAAGCTCATAAGTGACAATGTTCGAATAGTCTCATCATCATCAACAAAGAAACAATGTCGACATCCTATCTGGCGCTCTGCGCCCAGACTACAAATGGCAGATCCTATCTAGCCTATCTACAATGCCGCTGGTGACGTCAACAGCTCCCCGAAGTACGAGCAGATCTCGCCCAATGCTGTTCTCCTCAAGCACCAGGTATGTCCCTCGTATCACTCACAACCTCTATCCCCCACTCACAGAT